GACCGAGGTCTCCATGGCCTTCCTGGCTGCCAACCAGGCACCAGTCTCAATGCCAAAGGCCATTCTCAGTCCTGGCACCTGGCACCCTCCCTCTTCAAAGCCAGCAACAGTGTACTGAATTCTCTTCATACTTGGAATCTCTCTGACTTCCCTGCTTCTGCCACCAGCCAAAGAGGGCTCATGTGCTTAGATAATGACATAGATAACAAGCCTTTGCCATAATCAGGGATGGAGCACCAGAGGGTAAAGATTATAAGGCCGTCTTAAAACTGTACCTGTCACAGTCGCCACTAAAATGTACGTCTTTGGGACTTATTCCCGGAATTGAGAATTGGGTCAATCACGACATGGACAGGAGGGCTGCCAATCAAAACCAGGGCTCTGCACACGAAAAGTTTAAGAAGACCATGGGGGGTGGGCAACCAAGAGTGTCTGATTTGATTAATTATTGTCTATGAAACTGAGTTATTAATCTGTCAACATAAATTCACAGAGCTATAATACTGGAGAGGAGAGGTTTATTTTTTATAAGGGGTTGAAGCCTACAGGCTGGAAATCCCACAGGCTTGAAAGCACAGTCTACAGCAAAAAACCAAAGCAGGCACTTCAAGGGAGGAAAGGGGGAAAAGGAATTTGTATTGAATGGGTTGGCTAAGTATACATATTCAACAGTTATGGGAAGAGCTGCAAATGTTCCTGAAGGGAGGTGCACACATGCCTAAACACACATGCATGTTACATGTGTCCCATGTTCATGTTGGGGTGGAGACTTAACATTTAAACTCTTTGCAATTAGGTCCTATATGTCAAATGGTGAAGCAGAGAACAGGGAGGCACTCAGTGCAAGCCTCTGTAAACTGGCCAGAACCAGTCTGCCATCAGTGGACACTCACCAGGAGAAAGTCACTGAAATCAGTCTCTGATCCCATCATAGTAGTTATGGCAGAAAAGGGGTAGGGAGACGGTCGCTTAGGGTCTGGTGGTTGATGAGATGCCACTGTTTCAATATTGCTTCCCTGGAGGCCAGTGCTTGTTTAGCTACCAGAGAAAAAGAAAAACCGTGCACCTGTTAGAACCTAGTTTACTCTGTAAGTGTTGGGAGGTGTGACTTAACCCTTACCTGGCATGGCCTCGGGTCTTGTTTATAATTTCGTATATTTTTACCACCAAGAGTCCATTCTGTCATTCTTATAATCTCTTTCTTTTTTGAGATGGAGTGTCACTCTTGTTACCCAGGCTGGAGTGCAATGGCACGATCTCAGCTCACCACAACCTCTGCCTCCTGGGTTCAGGCAATTCTCCTGCCTCAGCCTCCTGAGTAGCTGGGATTACAGGGACGCGCCACCACACCCAGCTAATTTTTTGTATTTTTAGTAGAGACGGTGTTTCACAATGTCGACCAGGATGGTCTCGATCTCTTGACCTTGTGATCCAGCCGCCTCGACCTCCCAAAGTGCTGGGATTATAGGCGTGAGCCACCGTGCCCGGCCCCATCACCTGCTCTTTCAATGCATTATTTTCTGTTTCACTGCCTCAAACCAGACTCAGACCACCAATGCTCTTTATTTCAATTAGTTTTACCTGTTTTATGACATCTATTTGGGTTTAACTTTTGGTTCCTCCGCCAAAAAGTCTGAAATTCTAGGTCAGAGGTCTCCAAGGAACTTATATGTGTTTGCACAAACATGTGGAAATCCTTAAGAACTAGAAATTACCAACCAGTCAGTGCTCAGTGCCTTGGTATTTTTTGCTTTTGCGGAGGCTTGTGTTTACCTTTTATTTTAAGTGCTCTCCAGCCCATCCTCTTGAAGCACCAGGAGCCTTGCTCATTTGTTCTTGCTGCCTCGTTATTCAGAAGACCCATCAATCAGTGTCTGAAACAAGGAAGCTTCTGTGTAGAATCAAAAGCCACCACATCACAGCTGAAGGCAACAGAATGCAGTGGGCCTTGTTTGTACACAGGTCCTCATCTCTTTCAGAAGTGTCTCTGTTTGAAAAGAATGAGGCAGACAAGAGCGTGGCTTCAAAAGCAACTCTCCTCCTCTGGGCTTTACTTATTGAAAGTCCTGTGAGCACTGTTAGTAGGAAGTAAAGGGAATGAAAAGCAAACCCGAGGCAGGCTACAGGTTCCTAGGCAAGGCACTTATACCCAGCCTCAGCCAGGCAGTACAGCCGGTCATTTGCCTTCACTTTGTCTATTTGAGTTTGCAAGGTTAACATGAAAGAGGCTGTTTATTTTCTCCCAATGATTATGCTTTAAAAATACATGAACTTCCCTCACCTAGAGTCTTGCCCAGACATATCACAGGCTTCTCTCTTTGCCGGTACCTCTTAAGGGTGTCATTGCCAATGGAAACAGAGCTGCCTGCACTACTGTTGCCATGGCTACAGTTTCTGGACCAGAAGATTGGCTGATCCTTAGCCCAGCTCTTCCACCCGGCTATCATCTCCTCCACAGCAAGAGGCCTCCTTATTCCCTGATCTATTTTGTGTTTAGCTGGAAGATCGGAGAGCACATAGCTTTCCACGGTACTTATGACACTTCTGTAGGCTCTTAATGGCTCTAATGTTGATTAGGACCCAAAGTCTTGGGCCAGTGGAAAAGTTAAAACGAAGTTCAAGACTCATATAGATGATGATCCAAATAACCATCTAAATGGCTTGAGAATCATCACCTCCATCTTTTGTCTGCAGAGGGTTTGCAATGAGTGCTAGAGAGTTCACACCCAATATCTGGCCCGCCACGGGAAAGTATAAAGGACAGTACAGCGTTTATCAATTCACTCTATTTTTCACACCCTTTTCCCCACCTAAATTTTCCTCTTAATGTCTCACATCCTGGTGGCTCATGCCTATAATCCCAGCACTTTGGGAGGCTAAGACGGGTGGATCATGAGATCAAGAGATCGAGACCATCCTGGTCAGCATGGTGAAACCCCGTCTCTACTAAAAATACAAATATTAGCTGGGCATGGTGGTGCGTGCCTGTAATCCCAGCTACTCAGGAGGCTGAGGCAGGAGAATTGCCTGAACCCAGGAGGCGGAGGTTGCGGTGAGCCGAGATTGCGCCATTGCACTCCAGCCTGGGTAACAACAGCGAAACACTGTCTCAAAAAAAAAAAAAAAAAAAACTTACATTGTTTGTATCTTTTTAAAGTGCTTTAAGTTCTTTTGAAGCTAAACTACCTATAAGGAAAATATAGGTATAATCATCAAAAATCGATTTGATTCTTGCTATTAGGAGGGGAGGGGGGGAAAGTACAAAGGTTTTTGTGTCCAAAAGGCAACAAGTTAAGGTAATGCAAAGTACCTAGAACGTATTCTGTGTAAAATCAAATTGTATAATTTTACATAAATTTTCCTTTCGAAAAAAAATACACATGATTAAAGAAAATTTGAATTTCTGGTACAAAGGAGGAATAAGGACATGGCCTTCCTAATCCAGTAAGGTCCGTGAATAACCAGGGGCCTGCCAGGTACGGTTGTTCACACAAGAAAGTTGGGCAGTACCTTCAAAAACCTGAGATGGGCGGGGTGTGGTGGCTCGCACCTGTAATCCCGGCACTTTGGGAGCCTGAGGCGGGCTTATCACTGGAGATCAGGAGTTCGAGACCAGCCTGGCCCAACACGGTGAAACCCCATCTTTGCCAAAAATACAAAAATTAGCTGGGCATCGTGGCACATGCCTGTAGTCCCAGCTACCTGGGATCCTGAAGCAGGAGAATTGTTTGAACCTGGGAGGTGGAGCTTGCAGTGAGCCAAGACTGCACTATTGCACACTAGCCTGGGTCATAGAGCGAGACTCCGTCTCAAAAACACAACTCGAGATGAACTGTATGAGCAGGTATCAGGGAGGTGCCCAGTGGGTTCCAAAAATACCAGCGTCCTGCACGCAGCCAAAGCTTTACAAACACATAGCAAATAAACAGGGAAAATGAGTAACTAAAGAAATTCACAGATAATCTTCAGATTAACCCGGGTAGAAATGATTTAGCAATCCTGAGAGAAGCGGTTGCCGTCGAGGGTGTTAGAGCTATTTTAATCCTCTTGACAACACTTTGAGATACATGTTTTTATCTCCAGTTGTTTTTCAGGTGAGGTTGAGGAAGGTTAAGTAATTTGTGCAAAATCACATAACTGGTAAGTAAAAGATCCAGGACTTGAGCCCAGGGTTGTCTGATTCTAAAAGTAAAATCTATCCCCTCGGTGTACTCCATTGTTTCCAAAGCTAATGTTAACAACACAAATCTGGCCAGGCAGAGTGGCTCATGCCTGTAATCCCAGCACTTTGAGAGGCCAAGGCAGGTGGATCACTTGAGGTCACGAGTGTGAGACAAGCTTGGCCAACATGGTAGACCCCCATCTCTACTAAAAATACAAAAATTAGCCAGATATGGTGGTGTGTGCCTATAGTCCCAGCTACATGGGAGGCTGAGGCAAGAGAATCACTTGAACCCAGGAGGTGGTGGCTGCAGTGAGCCAAGATTGCACCACTGCCCTCCAGCCTAGATGACAGAGTGACACTCTGTCTCAAATAAAAAAAGAAAATAAAAGAAACCATAAATCTGAGGTCCCATCCCAGACCCACTGAATCAGAGTTTCCAGGGAGGGACTTGGAAACATTTGTTTAACAAGACACCAGATGATGATTAGTATCAGAAGAGTTTTTTTTAATGTCTCTGTTGCATGCCATAGGACATGAACCTACAGCTTCCTCTGGGTGACCGAATAGGAGCCATCAGATATGGTGAAGTTCATTCAACTAAAAATGAATCCGGTCAGTCTGGGCTGTATCAGATGACCGTATTATACTCTGGATCCTTCAGTTGGGTACTACAGCATTGTCTGATTGAAGGTTTTCTGGATCCTAAAATACCAAGAACATGTGAAAAGTTAAAAATGGGTTCCAGTTTCAACCTCAGACTTTTTTTTAGCTTCCCTCACTGCCTCTGATCCTGAGGAGCAGAAGTGAATGCACTTTGAATTCCTGGCAGCTTCACCGGCACAGAGGTTCCAGCTGTATCGGGGCTGGAGAACTGCTGGGGAGAACCACAAGCTGAGAATCAGTCCTCATCTCTGGCTGCCCCCGTCACCCCCTCCCCTCATTGCCTTTCATTGGATGAGCAAGTCATACAATCCAGGAAGTAAGAAAATCTATCACTGCTTGGTTGGATTTTCTTGGTTTCAGTTTTTCCACGCCTGATGAGTACTGCAGAGGCACAGCGAAGCCTGCAGCTTCCATACCCATCCTGAGAGCAAGTAACTTATTCGCACAACTTAAACACTTAATAACTAAACGGAAAGCAAGGCAGCGAATGATTCCCGACATGGCTGAATTTAAGTCAAGCTGTGAAGCTCTAAGGGCAGCCAGAAATGGACATGGACAACAGGAACTGAAACCTGAGAGCTTCTGAGGGGCTTTGGACCACTGCTTCTCAGCAGTTTTCCCTGTAAGTTACTCCCATCATCTCAAAGAGAAATTTAAAATACGGTTGCAGAAAAGTATAGAACTGATTATCCCCATTTTGAGCATAGATCATCATTTAACCAACTTGCTTTATAATTGCCAAGAAACTTGCTTTGAATGGTATTTCCAGACGTAGTATCTGCAATAGCAAATATTGACAATTGCATTTTACAAATAACCAGTTTAATACGCTTTAATATGCTTCTGTTTCTGAGTGCTCTTGATCTTATCTAATCTTTGAAGCAACGCTGTGCGGTTGGTATGCTTATTAACACCATTTTACAGATGCAGACACCTTGAGTGGCTTTCTCACAGGGCATTTAAGGGACTCGTAGAAAGTACACAGCCAGTACCTGGGAGCCCATCTCATTTCACTACACTATCTTCACCCCGAAGAACTTTATATACTTAGGCCATTCATTTCTAAAAAGACAAATTGTCATATTAGATTAAAATATAAGATCCAACAATACGTATGTTGCCTAAAAATAGGAACCTGTAACAAAAAAGAAATTCAGAAATGCTAAAATAAAAAGGTTTAATGAGAAAACTCAGACAAAAAAGAAAACGGTTGGTGAAGCTGATCGCATATAAAAGAGATTCTGGAGCCAAAAACATAGGGGGAGGATGCAAAGACGCTCCTGATTATGATACAAAATATAAAACCAACTGTGAAGACAGATTACCAAAGTTAGAAATGCAAAAAGAAATAGAATAAAAGATGAGCAGTTGTAATGGGAGGGTTTAATTCACTTCACGGCTAAGAAAATAGACAACAGTAAAAAATAAAGACAAATAAATAGACAAAAACTTAAAAGGTATTTAAGATGTGACAAAATACACACCAGAGGTTATGAGCATTACACGGTTGAGAAGTTAGAGCCAATAAACGTATACTGAACTCAATACAACATAGATTATATATTCTTTTCCCTCTGTGGGCACTGGCACATATATACTAACTCTCAAATAAGGCCCCAAAAATGGAATCAAGAGCAAAAAAAATACATAGTTTCTCACCACATGCAATAAAACTAAATGTTAATAATACAGTAAAGGCAATGAAAGAAGCCTTGGGCAAAACAATAATTTAACCAAGAGCCTTTGCAAAAAGAGTTCAGGGTTTAGATTTTAAACTCCCCTCCTTGCTGCTGTGTGACCTGAGCAGTCTACTGAACCTCTCTGAACCTTGGATTCCTCATCTCAAAATGGGGCTCTACTTTTCAAAGCTGTTATGAAGATGACCTATGAAGTATGTCAAATAAACTAAGACTTAAGAGAGACTTAAAACCATAGGCCATACAATGAGACTCCATTTCTAATGTACTTATATTTTATTTAACTAGAAAAAAAGTCTAGAATTTTTGTTTATTGAAAGCAAAAGTCTATAAAATATTCATCGAAATACTAATAGTGGTTATCTCTATGTACTGATATTTCTGCCAATTTTTGTTATATTGCTTTATCTTTTCTACTATGAATACATAGGATCATAAAAATAGTATATATGAAAATAAACATGAACTTTTGAAAAATGGAGTACAAGAAGAAAATAAATACTTATACTTGGGTGGCCTACAGATGGTGGTTGCTGCAGGCATGCAGCCATCTCGGCTGCTTGACTGTCATTGTAAATTCTAAAATACTCTCGATTTCTCTTTCTCCATATAAACATGCACACACACACACACACACACACACATATAACACAATATTAGTATAACTGACAATTTGAATGTGGGCTATGTGATTAGATAATCATATGGTACCAATATGAAATTTCCTGATTAAATTTCTTGAATTTTATAAAAGAAAATATTTGTCTCAGGAAATATACATTGAAGTATTTAGGTATATGTATATATATATACACACACACACAACTTACTCTCAAATTGTTAAGAAAAACATTCACAGATATATAGACAGAGTGAGAATAACTAGGGAAAAATAGAAACAGATGGAGCACCTAGGTAAAGGGTGTATAGGAATTTATTCTAGCCTTTTAACATTGCTCTAAGTTTAAAATTACATTAAAATATTAATGAGTATTCACAGCAGCAACAAATGAATGGGTATCAGTGTCTAACAACAATGAACCCTTTCCTAAACTACAAGGCCAAGTAAAAGAGGGGTCTCCAACCGCTGGTGGCCGTCTGTGGCCTGTTAGGAACCTGGCCACGCAGGAGGAGGTGAGCAGCCGAGCTCCACCTGTATTTGCAGCCACTCCCCATCACTCACATGACTGCCTAACAGTCACACCACCTCCTGTCAGATCAGCGGTAGCATGAGATTCTCATAGGACCGCAAACCCTCCTGTGAACTATGCATGCGAAGGATCTAGACTGCACGGCCCTTATGAGAATCTAATGCCTGAAGATCTGTCACTGTCTCCCAACACCCCCAAATGCAACCACCTGGTTGCAGGAAAACAAACTCAGGGTTCCCATTGTCTCTACATTATGGTGAGTAGATTATGATTATATAATTATTTCAACATATATTACAATGTAATAATAATAGAAATAAAGTGCACAGTAAGTGTGATATGCTCGAATCATCCCGAAACCATGGCCCATCCACCTGCATTCATGGAAAACTTGTCTCCCGTGGTACTGGTCCCTGATGCCAAAAAGGTTAGAGACCTCTGAAGTAGAAAATCACGAACATGGTAATAACTTTTGAGATGCTTATAAAATTGAAAACACCATATATCAAAAGTGAGGGGGCTTTGTATGAATCGGGGCCCAGAGATTAAGGCATAAGTCTACATGCTTTTATTTTAGAAATATGAAATTCGCATTTAACTTAAAATCTACTGGGTACAATATTCACTAATTGGACAATGGGACCGTTAGAAGCTCAAACCTCAGTGTTGAGAGCAAATCCTGAAGACAGTCAATGTAAAGGATAATAAAGAATAAGGACAGAAATAAACTAGAAAAGGGAAATCAGTAGAAATAATAAATAAATCGAGATGCTCATTCTGTAGAAAGACTGTAAGATAGATCAACCCCTGATCTGAATGAGTTCAGAAGTAAGGAGAAAGGTCTGGCAATAGATATCGTTTTGGATTTTGTAGTAGTGTTTTGATAGCAGTTGTTGATAGCACGAAAATAATTTATCAGTGAGCTCCCTGACAGCTACCTGACTTTTCTTTTTAAAGAAACAGGGTCGTGTTATGTTTTCTGGGCTGTGCTAGAACTCCTGGGCTCAAGTCATCCTCCTGTCTCAGTCTCCCAAGTAGTATCTAGGGCTATGGCCATGCGCCACCATGCGCAGGATTGAGCCACTCCCAGCCATCATGTTGCAAAGTATTTAAATGTTAAAAAAAAAAAAGAAGATAGATCAACCCCTTGGAGATATAATAAACAAAAGAAAAGGTATAAATCAGCAAAATTAAAAACAAGACTGAAATCAATAATTTTAAAATATAAATGATTGCAATGCAGAATTTACGATAATCAATTTGAAATGCTTAGCCAAATGGACAACACGAAACACAGCACCATTGGGAGAAGATGTGGGCAACATGAAAATTACAAGGAGGGCAAAGGAAAAGTTGTTATTTATCTCATCCCCCACAAGGAACATGACCTCGACAAATTAACTGAGCAATGTTACCACATACTTAAGAAAAAGATTTTTTCATATTATATAATCAGTTCCAAATCACAGAAAAACAAGATCTGATACCCAATTCATTCTAAGAAGTGCGTATTATTCCCCAACCACAAACCTGTGAAAAGTACCACACAGGCGCACACCCAGCTAAAGACACAGTCTCAGGATGGCAAATGTGCCCAAGCGCGAGTTCCAATAAAACTGGCTGGAAATGATTAGAACCAGGCTCAAGGACATTAGATTTTCCCAAAACAGCTGTTGAATAAGTGAATATATGAATGAATGAATGAAGAAAATAATGCAAGGCCGGGCGCGATGGCTCACGCCTGTAATCCCAGCACTTTGGGAGGCTGAGGCAGGTGGATCACGAGGTCAAGAGATCGAGACCATCCTGGTCAACATGGTGAAACCCCGTCTCTACTAAAAATACAAAAAATTAGCTGGGCATGGTGGCACGTGCCTGTAATCCCAGCTACTCGGGAGGCTGAGGCAGGAGAATTGCCTGAACCCAGGAGGCGGAGGTTGTGGTGAGCCGAGATCGCGCCATTGCACTCCAGCCTGGGTAACAAGAGCGAAACTCCGTCTCAAAAAATAAATAAATAAATAAAAGAAGAAAATAATGCAAGCAATTAGCAACATGGACTAAGGATCTGAAAGGCAGGAACGGCTTGTGCACACTATCTGCTAAATTTTATTGATCGATACATTTTATCGATCCAAGGAACATTCTCAATGAGCATAGGCAGAAAAATCATTTTGAAATGAGCTCATAAAACGCAGCTATAAATTAAAACAATAGCAAGTAGTGACTAAATAAGGTAAATTCTACTAATGCCAGAAGATTATAATAATTATATATATTCATTATATAAATATATTATATGATAAATATACATAAAAGGTCCTCATAATGAATTGTATAATGAATCACAGAATTACTGTTTGCTAGGGTGTAAGACTAAAAAGTAAAATTGAAGAAATGAAGACACTAAGGATATTCGTGAAGGAAAAGACAGTAAATCTCATTACCCAAAAATGTAAAACTCTATGAAACAAAAGACATCACAGGTGATATGAAAGACGAAATGCAAACCGGGAGTATATTTGCAATGAACTAATAGAAGTATGGGCAAAAGATATGAATAAGCTATTTTCAGCAACAGAAATTTGAATGAGCAGTCACACACGTAAGAAAATGTTCAACCTCACCAGTAATCAGAAAGTTTAAAATTAAAACAATGAGATACCATTTTACATCCAAAAAACTGGTGAAAATTAAATAATCTGACACTATCAAGTGTTGGTGATGATGTGGAAAAATAGAAGGAACACTCACATTTTCCAACAATATGTTCACGG